ATGTATAAAATAATTTTAATTGAAATAATGGTTATACATACACATCAATACATTAAAAAGTCACATTACAACCACAGACAAAATTGCTAAAATTGCAGAAAAACTTAATGACAGCAAGAAAAACTAAGAGTTCTAATCAACAACAGAAGTAACATCAAAATGAAAAATGTTGGAGGGAAACCACACAGTTCCAAAATATCCACTCAAGAGAGAGAAAAGGCGACTAGGATTCCATTGTCATTGAGAGATCTGTATGCTTATTGCTCCAATTCAGGACAACCACTGTGGAGGCTGCTTCCCACGAGTTGAATGGAGAGAAAAATTAGCTTCGCCCAGCGTGCAACAGTCCCACAAAAACGAATAAATCCACATCATTCCATTCGAAACACATGGGAAGTTGGGGCTCACTTTAGGTGCACCGTGAGGCCAGGTTATGCAAAGAAAATAACACGTTTTAACAAGCAACTTAAGCATAAAAAAGTTCTGTAATAACCGCATCGAACAAGATGGCCCACAAATCGAATTTTACACATTTTCAAGTCTTCACAGCAGCTGTCAATTTTCACCTTCTACTCGAATTCACCTCTAACTTGGACAAACGAAATACACAAGTCTCCTTACCTGCCAGTGTGGGAGGAAATGTCTTACTTCTTCAGCAAACATTCACACACCCTATCCGCAACCCTCTAATGGCGGTCCTGGATCTGTGATGTTTCGATATTCTAACAACAATTAGACTTCCTGTGTGTCATTTCCGGTGTTTCTTTCCGAAATTTAAAAGTCCAGATGCACTCTTCATTTTACGTCTTTCAAGGCATGCGGAGAAAAAGAAAAATACACCACGTTTAGAACTAAATATTATGAGAAGCATGGAATATTTCTTTATTGGAACAAATGAAGTATTAGTGGTAAAATAGTTAAAAGATTGATTTTATACGGTGTATATAAATTGTGTATATAAAATATTTTGCATTATATATAGGAGTTACTAGGTATCCGCACACTCAGAAAAAAATACAGAAAACTCCATTGTTTTTATCAGATTTACAGCATTGCAAAGGTTGCTGCGGCTTAAACACTGCCTGTATACCCATAACTTCACTTTACTGAAACTGGCTGTGGGGCACTTTGACATCCCATAACTCCAGGAACACAGGATTTTATTCAGTGTAAATTTAATATAAAGACACTTGATCCTGAATGAAATCAAGGAAGTCAGTGAATGATAACCTGAACAATTTAGTTTTTATAGAAAAGTTACAATAGTATATAACTGTTTAAAAAAAAATAGCTGAAATACATATCATACATCTTATTTCCACTTATTGCTGCCATTTTTTAAGACATGCAGGTATGGGCTGGCAGAAATGATGTGTTATTATAATGCATGGTCACTCTCAAAAACCAAGCAAAAGACATCCAGGTCATTTATCCATGTATCAAACCACACCCACACCTTCTGGTCTCTATCTGAACCTTGGAATTTAGTATACATTACGAACATTATAGCTCTGCTCAAAAAAAACACAAGAAATGTTTTATGTTTCAGCATATTTTTGAACCAAATAGTCCACATGACCCTGACCTGCAGTTATATTGGTAAAGGGGTGACAAATCCAGCCAGCTAGTTGTAGTTTAATACAAAAAAAATCCACAAATCCCTCTGAATTAACATTCAGAATGAGGGGAAACAGGTGCTCTTCTCAGACATACATTTCCTTCAATTATGAATGATCTGACTTTACACTGTTTCCCGTGAAACAGCATGTATAGATCCTCAAGACCTAGAATCATTCAGCGAAATCCAACAATTCTGTTAAATCCTTGTCCTTGTTCTCTATGACCTCCTCTGTACTTTTTTCCGTCCTTGCAAGGCCCATGTCATCCAGTAGTTTCACATACTCCTCTTCAGGCTGCAAGAAAAACACTTGATCATCACAACCATTATCCTCATTTTTATACTTTTTTTTATTAATGAAAACATCTAGTTGGGCTGTACAATATCAGGTTATACTCCATATTCTTACATTTATTAAATTTGGTTATTGGAGCATAGCCCATGCTACTGTTTCGGTATATCATGGAAGCACTAAAGCACGGGTGAAGAAAGGGACAGCTCAACCAGCACATTTTCTAAAAGAGAAGATATTGTGGATAAACGATGTAGAAAGACATCTGTGGTGTGGCAGCACTTTTTGCAGTTTAAAGTCCAACGTTTATTAAACATAAGGATACACTTAATTTATACAGATTACTAACACTTCCAGCATTGACGCCTTCGCCTACGTCGACGACTCGTGGCAGCCCTGGACTCTTGGCGTTGCGCTTGGTGATGTGAGGTTTGCATACAGCTTCTCGGTCATGGAAGCCCATTCCATGAAGCTCCCGGCGCACAGTTCTTGTGCTGAGGTTAATGCCAGAGGAGGTTTGGAACTCTGCAGTTATTGAGTCAACAGAGCGTTGGTGACTTTTACTCACTATGCGGCTCAGCACTGGGCGACCCCGAGCTGTTACTTTACGTGGTCTGCCACTTCGTGGCTGAGTTTCCGTTGTTCCTAATCGTTTCCACTTTGCAATAATATTACTTACAGTTGACCGTGGAATATCTAGCAGGGAAGAAATTTCACGAACTGACTTCTTGCACAGGTGGCATCCTATGACTGTACCTCGCTCGAACTCACTGAGCTCTTCAGAACGACCCATTCTTTCACAAATTTGTAAACCTGACTGACTGCAGGGCTAGGTGATTGATTTTATACACCTGTGGCAAGTCTGAATGAAACACCTGAATTCAATGAATGAAAGGTGTGTCCCAATACTTTTGTCCATATAGTGTATATACAACTATATGACTTGTATTTGATGTAGTTTCACTGACTTAAAATTGCATTGTTTGAAGCCTTTGCTTTTGTGATTCTGAAGCAAGAGACTTCAACATGCTAACTAATTTCTAATGGTACAGAGAGTTATACACTATGTAGATTCCCTTGTGCAGGTTTGCTGTCAAATCCAGTTAACCAAGTTCAGCTTCATATAGTTGGTGTAACACTGAAAAACATGCCAAATCTGCTAGCTCGATGTCCTATGGAAAAAAAGCATAAAGATATCATTAGTGTCCAGGTATGTGCCTATTAAATAAGTCAAAGACAACAGTAATCAAACATTTACAGATTCCTAACCACTTGGCTAAATGCCACCCATAAAATAAGAGGTGGTAAACATGACAGACACATTTAGAAATCACAGCTGTCAAATTATTTTATACGTGTGGGTTTAATTGAAATATTGGGTATACATACAGATCAATACATTAAAAAGACATATTACAACCAGACAAAATTGCTAAAAATGCAGAGAAGCATAACAGCAAGTGAATTTACTTTAGTACGCGCTTTTATCATATTCCTCCAAAAGTAAAATCTTTTCCTCCACTGACCAAATTGGTTTGTCTTCTTTTCTTCCATTTTTCCCCCACTATAGACCAAGTCTGAGGTCATAACAGGCATTGCAAGCAAGCACTAGTGTAAGTAAACAAATGATCTATATCAGGGGCGGCCAATCTTATCCACAACAGGCCGCTGTGTATGCAGGTTTTCGCGGCAACTCCCTAATTAGATTCCTAATTAGAGGACTGATTGACTGAAGAGTCCTAACACCTGGGTTTGAACAGCTGACCTAAAGGTTATCCCAAAAACCTGCATACACACCGGCCCTTTCTGGATAAGATTGGCCACCCCTCTTCTATATAGAAACCATAAAATATTACAGCTGTAAAATCTCTTTTGATGCAGTAAATCCCTTAAGGTATTTCCTTAAAGACACCTTTTAGAGGCTGACTGATACTTCTGCGTTGCAATAAGTACGGCTCAGCCGTGGGTCCTACACCATAGCCTGATGGGCACTACCCCAAAAAGGTAATTTACACATCGCAGTGACGCAGACCGCGGGAACTGTGATTGGTCCGCTTGGTAGCATTTGTTGTTTTATGGGAGCAAAGAAACTGTACATCCCAGGTGCATTTATACTGCTGACTGAAGTGTCATTTACATCTAGCATTAATTAATGCACTAGGCATCATAGCAACTGGTCTGCAAAACACTCAAAATGACAGCAGCAATTTAATTTACCCCCACTACTTAACAAGACTAAAGGAGTACTACATGCAGTGAATTTAGTAGGAAAACACATAAAAAGTTATTTTGTAGTTGCTCAAAATTCTTCCAGATTTGTCTAAACAACAAGGAGTAGATAAATGGGTACTTTGTTAAAGGTCTTTGTTGAATCGCACAACTGAAACAGAAAAATCATACAGGGTGGGAAGAAAATAAAACCAACATCCAAAACTATGTATCACTTACCGTTCTGGAGATGTGACAGAGCACAAGTATAAATACTATGCAATGGCGTTGGCCAGTTGCATAGGTCACAGCGTATGCTTAATGCAGAAGTATCAATCAGCCTTAAGGGATTCTGCACAACAATCTTCAAAGAAATCTCTCAGCTAGGGAGAAATTAAACCTTAAATGTTGTAGTTAATGGGACAACTTAAGGTGTTTTGTGCAATATTCTCCAGGTTTTTACATCTAGCATAAACAGAGCACATCCGTGGCATCCACCCCGCATATGCAAGATAACTGATTAGGCATTTCCAGTAGGTGGTAAAGCCGACTTTCACAGATCACCAGTCTAAAACTAAAAAAGTAGAGGAAGACTGGTTGTTGGTATAGTAGTTATGGTGAGCAGCTGTATGAGGAGGGTCGGAGGTAACCGCAAATCTAGTTTTTCATATTGTCCAGACATTATACTGAGGTATACGATATTTTAAAAAGCAACACTATACTGGAATTTCTTAAACTTGACGATAAAATTGGTCGTTGTTGTAAGGTTTTCAATATAGCTCGGTATGCCATATTACCGTAATACCGGTCAAGCCTTGACTAATAACTTTAAAATTGTTCATAGCAGTTTATCCGTTTCACTACACTGCTTGCATTTCTGATTGCTGCAGTACATCTGCTCTCTCCTGGTCTGATGGAATGTCACCGCTGCATGCGCGCACCGACCGCGACCGTCTGCCGCCAAATGCACTATTAACGCGAGCAGCACTGAAGTGCACGCGCAAGCTTCCCCCCAACGCGCTAGTCAAACGTCGTGCGGCGTCCAGAACACGGGCGCTTCACTTACCATGATTGTGAACTTCTAACAAACCATTAGTTGAAAAGACTGTTTGAAACTTGAAAAAGCAACTTGAACATAAAAAAGTTCTGTAATAACCGCGTCAAACAAAACGGCCCACAAATAGAAATTTCTTCACAGCCGCTGTCAATTTTCACCTTCTGCTCGAATTCACCTCTAACTTGGACAAGCGAAATACACAAGTACGGCTTTACACAAGTCTCCTTACCTGCTAGTGTGGGAGGAAATGTCTTACTTCTTCAGAAAACGTTCACGCACCCTATCCGCAACCCTCTTACTCTAATGGCGGTCCTGATTTCTAACAACAATTAGACTTCCTGTGTGTCATTTCCGGTGTTTCTTTCCTAAATTTAAAAGTCCAGATGCGCTCTTCATTTCACATATATTTAAAAGTAAGTGGGGAAAAAGTAAAACACACCAGGTTTAGAACTTAATATTAAGAGAAGCATGGAATATTTATCTATTGGAACAAATGAAACATTAGTGGTAAAATAGTTAAAAGACTGAAATTATATTGTGTATATAAATTAATTGTAAAATACTTTGCATTATATACGGGATTGTAACTAGGTATCCACACACTCAGAAAAAAACACCATTGTTTTTTATCAAACTTACATCATTGCAAAAGTTGCTGGGGTTTAAACACTGGGTAGTATTTCAATTAAATAACTTCATTTTACTGAAACTGGCTGTGTGGCACTTTGACATCCCATAACTCCAGGAACACAGGATTGTAACCAATTAGTCTGTCTACAGATCTAACAGCATTTTCCCATAGATTTCACCTGAAATCAGCTTATCATTATTGCATCATCCTATACAGTCCCACATGTCAATATTGTCTCAACAACATCTTCCTACTTTACACTACAATAATTTGTAAATGTTGCCTTGCCAGCTGTTTTCTTCAGTCTGTATTTTACATTTATATAACCTTATATCATTTATTTATATCCCCTCGTGTAAATACTACCTCATAAGCACCTTATACTATTTGCACTTCTGTTTAGATGCAAAATTGCATTTCGTAATACTTCAGCATGTGCCATGTGCAATGACAATAAAGTTGAATCTTAAATAGATGTATATTTTTAAAATCATGGACATGAAATATTCACACATTTTGATCATTTTTAATTGTGCGCATCACACATGTGCACCATCTTTCTGCGTGAAGTAACCAAAGGTATAAACTAAACCAGGCAGCGTTATAAAAGACCGTCTGGTAGACACATGCAGAGGAGCCACAAAAGCGATTTTTTTTTTTTGACATATAGTAATTGAAACTTAACTCATTATTACTAATTTGTCATTTACGTGCTGGGGGGGCTTGAAGTGTCTGAGCACCTGCCCATTTTACTTAAATGTTTAACGTAAATCTGTGCATGAGCTGTACAGGAGCTGAGGTCCAACACCTGCCCCTCAAAATCTATGCGTAGCCTTGCTTATTTCTATAAATCTAAATGAAATTCAGATGAATATGCAAGTGACAAATGTCATTTTTTAAAAAGCTTAATTCATGATAGCTGCCCAATTCTGACACTCGAGCGTATCGTAAAATACAACGTCAATTAAAATAGATTAAATTAAAATTACAAGAGGAAAACATTCAATGCATATTTTGACTAGGCAAATATTTATTTTCCACGTTACACAAGAATACAAATACAGTTTATGTCGTACTAGACGGAAATCAAACTTTCAGAACTGACTACAACTAGGTGCTAAATTGTAAGTCAGACATAGTGGCAGAACATTTAATCCATTGGCCTTTTACCCCATCTCACAGAAAAAAGTAATGACTAAACTATCAAGACACGTTGTAATTTTGCAGTTTAGGTCGCAGTTTAGGTCATTCATATACCAAGACGTTTTAAAATTTGTAAAATACTGAATTAGGAAACAATCATTGTTTGGGAGAAAACCTCTGGGTTGAATCTATCACACACACAAAAAAAAAAAAGAGGCCAAAATAAGCAACCAGCTGATGTAGGATTTGGGTTCTTATGAAGCTGTTTTTCTGTCCCCACGACCCAAAGGGTGGTGTCTTTGGAAGGATACATCTGTCCTGTAAAGGAAAGAACATAATTCCGCTGTCGTCTCGTGGCATTTCTAGTTCCTTCACTGCTGATCCACTTCATGATGGGTGTTAAGAGACAGATCTCCGCACTCTTACTGCAGTGAATGATAACAAGGGCAACTCAACTGATAACACTTGAGGTGAAGGAATCTCTCTTCCCCAGCAGTCATGTGACACACAAAGAATGTGGAAGCAAAGGTTACTAGAAGTCCAGGAGCTACAGAGGAAGCGAGAAAAGGGTGAATTTAATTAAACATAAAATTTAACAGAAGAAATGCATACATGTCTCTGCATAAACTCCCTGAGAAATGCGTATCTTACACGAAAGGGCCTTGCAAACTAACCAGTTGTGGTAAGATCTTCTCAAAGTGCTCAATGTCAACCAGGTCACAATCTTCTGCATCTGCCTGCTTCACTGATCTTCGGGCGGCCTCTGGAGGACAAGAGTAAACCGCAACATGAACACCTTGCTAATGTGTTGTATTAAGCTGACATCATTGTCAAAGTAGCAAAACATGAAAATGAGGCGGCGGCCATTTTACCAGGGAACGAGTTAGATAATCATCACTATAGACTTGTGTGCTTGGCTGTATTAAAATTAGCAAGAAAAACCCAAATCTAGCTGCTATACTTTCGGTTCGTAAAAATCAAGGCAAAGACACCAAAGAACTAACAGAAAGGAGACGGAAAGCTTGACTAAAAGCTGAAAGAACATAAACAACGGTACTGTCAGGAAGTGGTGCATTGTATGTGCTAAGCATTTCCTTACAGGCAGATATGGGTAGTATTTCAATTAAATGCATTTAAAGCATATATTTATTCACTTTAGAGTATTTTGTAATTTGTATTTTGCTGGACAGGAAAATAAAGAAATTCGCAACGAAATGCTTTGAGAGATTGTATTAAAATGTAGCTAAAATGTTTAAAATACTTAATAAAAATACAGAAATATCTGGTCCTGACAACACAGTTTAATTTTCAATGAAATATGGGTTTGAAATAAGTAAAAGTATTTCAATGACAGAAAACGGACAGGTAGCCAAGCATCAAATTAATCCCAGAGATAGTTATAAAACAATACTTACCTTCGACAAATATCTTCAGCATCTCAGTCATTAGAATAACTGCATCACCGCTTACTTTAAAATGATAAAATACGTATGAAAGTTGACGTTACAGAATTATCGTGTATGTAACTGCGTCGCACTGCTTGCTTAAATTGTTGCAAAAAGTGAAAGAATCCACCAAATGTTTCCTTACTTTTAGTTTTTTCGTCTTTGAAAAAAAATGAGAAAAGCTTGCCCACCGTCTCCTGAAAATAAACGCAGCATACAGTTTAGCGAGGCTGCCAGCTCTCCCGCATCTGGCGTGACACTCACGCTTTCAGACTCTCACGGTCACGCAAGAAATCTTAAGGCAAATCTATATTATTCCATTAAAAACCTATAATTAGCTACATCAAAAGCGTTAGGTTAGTTTGGAAACCCTACAGGCTATTTATAAGGTAATACAACTGTTAAATACGTGTACACTTGTCTCGATTTGATAATCTCACGTCACCCAGCTAACCAAAGTTGGCAGCCCTGCTTAAGCGTCTTACTGTCACTAAAAGACACTTATACTAATAAACCGACATCATACTTACAGCGAATTACAAGGTAATTGCCTATGGGATTAATAAAATCCCATATCAAAATGAATAACGTTTAACCCTTAAATCACATTCAAGCGATGTTAGCCACTTAATACACAGTCATTTATAAATCGCAGTTTTCGTGCAAAAATGACCAAACCTTTTTGAACACAGCATTCGAGCTCCCGTCCGCCATTTTCAGTTGCGCTGAATCTGCGCGCTCTGTTCGGCGATTGGCTGAATGTCCTGTTTCCCCGCCAATCAGAAATCGAGTAACATTTCATGACATGGATGGGATCCACGTGGATATGATCAACCTGACACCGAACACCGAAAGTAAAATCACTTTTGAAAATACAAACGTTTTCAATAGAATCTACCAGTCAACTTTTGTTTCCCAGAAATGTATTAAACGCATTGGCCAAATGTCTCTCATCCTGGTTAGCCTGGAAAATATTCTAGGAGCAGGAAGCAGAAGATATGAAAAATCTTTGCCATCAAAGAGATCACTTTAACATAAATAACATCTTTATGAACTCAGTTTTGCTTACAGATGGTGTGACACCCTGAACATCTTAGGAACTAGGATTATTTGCAGAATTATTATTGTGTTTGTCTTATTGCCTTTTTGAGTATTATAATTTATTGGTAACACTTCACTTGACGGGACACAAATACTTAGTGATGGCTCAGTTACTGCTGAAATATAAATCACGAACAAATCATGAACAAATATAGTCGGTACTTGAGATAAAAGACGAGTCACGATTTGTTGTTCTGTTATTCATGACTTGTTCCTTCAGCAGTTCCTTCAGTAGTTCACAAAGGTTTACAGAATCAACAAATATAGTAAATAAAATACCTGCTTGGGATAAAAGCTGCATCATGATTCATTAATGATGAATTAACATGAGATCAGTATGTAACAAAGACTTAGTTTGTGGTTAATTAATGCACAAGCAATAGCATTATTGCACAACAATCACTGGGCAATCATAGCCATGCTTTCAACTTGTCTTACATGCCTGCATGGCAGCTCATTGTGTGGGGTGCCAGACGAAGTAGACAGGAGCAGGAATCAGGGCAAAAACAAGAAGAGTTTATTTTAATCAAAGTAAGGGAAACAAATGAATCACAGGGGAACTTCAAACAGGCTCTAAGCACAAGACTGACAATGAACAATGTCAATGTCCAGAGTGGGTATCATAGATCTGGGAGGCACTTATATACTACGGATTAACAAAGGAGCAAAATGAGAGGCAGCTGGAGTGATCCACAGAAGAGCAGGAACAAGATGTAGGAGTAATACGACACAGGTGTGTCTCGTTGGACCACACTAGGGGCGGAGACAGAAGGGTCGGCTGGGCGCGGCATGACAGCAGCAAAGCTTATGGGACATACCAAGTTTCACTTCTGTTTGCACTCACATTATTTTATCATTCTCACAACAATAGGTAAAACTGAATATTCTATTGTCAAAACACATGCCCTAAATCCTTTCCCAAGCGTCAATGTTATCCTTCATAGGCAGAATCCTGAAATGAAAGAGAAGGAATGATTATTGTACAAAATAGCTCAAATTCAAAATGTTGAGTCTTACATCAGTATCTTAGTAGGGAAGAGGGTGAAAAAGAAGTCCTTCATGAGTAGACCAGTGTTTCTTAGCAAAGACCAACGTGGTCCTCAGGGACCCCAGACAGTCCATGCTTTTGCTCTCTCCCTGCTCCCAGTAGTGTCCCCGAGGACCAGATTGGAATCACTGTCTTATCAGACCATGGGAGCATGTAAACCAGCATTGTCACACACAGCCAGCCAGACTTTTTGCTCCCAAACTCACCTGTGGGCCCCTGTGTTTACGTTTTTGCCAAACGGCCATCTCTCTCCCTTTGAAGGGTTTGCAGTTTGGTGATGAGGAATTTCTTGTCGGCTCCCTCCTGCACACAGACAGAAAGAAATTCCCCAAACTGCACAAACAAGTAACAAAACTATTCCGCATCACAAGATGTGTCCCTTCTGGGATTCCGGATGTACCCACATTTCTAATCTGTTCTTGTAAGAGGCTGACAATCTTTTGCTGTCCATCTACTACTTGGGTGTGAAAATAAATGATTATACTGAAAATAAAAGGAGAAAGAAAGATTAAAATATACAAATGGTTCCTTTTCAGATGAACTAAGCTCAGGCAGACAGGCAATAGTGTAAACTTGGAAAAAAAAGAAAAAACCAATTGAAATTGATTGTCCAATTGAAACTGACAGTCATGCAAGCAGTTGCTGGGATATTGAGAAGCAACTCACAGGAAAATTCCTGAGGAGAGAAAAAGGGAGATGGGATTGTTCACTATGTAACAGTAGACCCAGGTGAACCATTCGATGTTCTGCCTCTTGACCCACTGCTTTCCCACCTGGGCCATAGTGCGGAGGCCTCTGAACGGCCCACAGTCAGGGGAGGGTGCAATCCTGGGTGTTTAAAAAGAAGTGCACTATCACACTGATATTGTTAAATATACTGAGGGAGCGTGCAGTGGTATGTACGTAGTCAATGAAAGAAGTGCTATGCATTTCAAAATAAGCTATGCTGAATACAGGGTCGCAAACTCACGCCCACATGGTGTAGCTGACCAGCATAAAGGCTCCCAA